TCTACAAATCTTAATCAAACTAAATTACAAATTTATTGTCTAAATTACACAAACTATAGTGTCAAATTCAAAAATACTTTCCAAATTCATCAAAAAGTAATTGTCAAATACATCACTTATAAATTAAGTTTATGACATAAGTATCCCATTTTTCACGCACCTATCAAGCTCGACATCTGTATGTTGATTCTTCCCCCAAAACTATATAAAAACAATTGAACTCAAAACTAAAAAATTCACTAAATACCTTCCAGAAGCCTCCCCATCAAAACCTGTAATTAAAAAAACACTAGAATCTGTTAATAGAAACTTGAATTAATAGAAACAATTTTAGTATATGCATGTTATTGTATACACCTTCCATCAATTTTAAGATGTAAAGCCCTTAAAAGCCATGATTTATGTTTGTAAAGCTCCCCTGCCGGGTATATTTGGAATCTGAAGGGAAAAAATGGAATTGGCATATCAGTGGAGAAGAAGATAACCCTGGATTAAGAAAAGAGATTAAGATTAAATAAAGTTTTAACCGTTAGCAATATTAAAACTTTATTTTTCTAAATATATGAGAGAAAGAGAGAGGATGTAACTGAAAGTTAATTTCAGTATAGAAGTCAAATAACAAAAAATAAACAAATGGCCCAGTTGAAAGCTTACATAGACCAATATGAGACAGGTTAAGACCTTACCTTACAAACTGGTTAGGGATATCTATCAGACATGAAATTCTGCTAATAATGTGTAGGTCCATGTTTATATTAAAGAAGAAACAACTTAACAAAGGCTTATTTTAGAGGAACAGGAAGGATTAAAATTAAATAAATACTTACATCTTCATTTGGATTTGGGAATTCAATCTTTCTATCAATTCTTCCAGGCCTAAGAAGGGCCTGATCAAGGATATCAATACGGTTAGTAGCATCAAAACATGTAAACATCAAAATAGAGATCCATTCAGAAGGGCAATATCGCCTTTTTTTTTAAATATTAAAGTGAAAAAAATTACCTTGATCTTGTTTGATGCTTCAAATCCATCCAACTGATTGAGAAGCTCAAGCATTGTTCTTTGGACTTCACTATCACCATTTCCACTTCCAGATTCCATTCGAGCATACACAAGTTTTCTTATATCCAGGATGAAGATGCTAACCGGTCTACATGCTCTAAATCTGCAAGTCTTTCTAAATCTGCAGGATGAAGATTCCATTCCGTAATTATCAGTTTTTTTTTTTTTCCGCAAATTATTAATTAAATTTGCTTCCTAATGGAAAATAAACAATCATTGATATTATTTCCATTTAAAATCTAGTACACTGCTGGCACACAAGAAGTTCCTTTGACAATTATTCAACCACTGCAACTACTGGTGCTCAAGTTGGGTATAAAAGGAGTGCTTACATGGGAAGCTGTAGACATGATTTATGGCAAGCTATAAGAGCATCATCTGCTGCTCCATATTATCTTGATGATTACTCTGATGGTATAAACCCTAAACCCTGAACTTATAATTGTAATATCTGGTTGAGTAACTTATAAAAATATAAAAAAGCTGACATTTTTCATTTATGTATATCATCTATCTTGTCTAGGTGTATTTAGGTGGCAAGATGGTGCTATTGTGGCAAATAACCGTACAATATTTGCAATACGTGAAGCCAGATGCAAAAATCGACACTCTTGTTTCAATCGGTTGTTGTTATATTCCAACAAAGGTAATAAATTCATTATTGTTATCTGTTTGGGTTTTTCAATCTGTCAAATAACCGGAATGTGAATAAATTTAAATGACCAAAATACCCTTAATATTGATTGTAGGCTGGTAAAGGTGGATGTAGGTATTTGGACACTGGGCAAGTGTTGATTGAGAGTGCATGCTCAGTCGATCGAGTTGAGGAAGCTTTGAGCACATTGTTGCCAATGATTCCTGAAATAAACTATTTTCAACTCCTAATTCATTTCCAACTCCATAGTTATTCCTTCACCTCCTTCTTCAACAATAGAAACTCCTAAACAATATAAACAATTGATAATTAAGATTCAAGAATATGTGGAATATTCTTACTATGAAAGGATAAAAGCAAATGGTAATACTATCAATTTCAGATGCTGCCTACAAGACAATCCAAAAACACATAATAAGCATATTACCATAATGATGGTGAATAGAGGGGTTTAAAATTTAAAACTGACCTCATCAACATAGGGCCAGATCTTTGTAAGATGAGCATTAAGCCAGGTCAACTGAAAGATTAAGCAGAATAATCAGTCCCTGAAAAAGATAAAAAGAAACTAGAGAGAAAGTACAAAAGCAGGAAGAATGTAGGGTAGAAAAGTATCACTCAACTTCTGTCTCTGAGAAAACAACCCAAGAAGGGTAGAATTCTGGTAAAAGCAACTTTTTTGAATCTTCAACTGTCATTCTCGTAAAAGCCGCAATCGTTGTTGCCTTCAACACGTAATTTAACTCAAATTTCAATAAATTCACGAATATTCAGAGCATATACTCAATTCAAATCATGTTTTAGGTCACACATTAAGGAAGATGCATATTGTGTGTGTTGTTAAATCAAAAAATTCACACAAACTATTACACATAATGGAGACCGGAATGTTTGTGTTGTGTGTGATCCAAAATCTTTTGAACTGACTCATAGGCAGATGTAGATACAAGTGTGTTATGACGTGAAAGCTACGATAAAGCTAGATACATAACTTTTGGTTTCTTCCTCTTCGGGGGTGGTACGGCGACCGGAGCAGCGGATAGCGGATGGGAGGGTCGTACGAGCGGCGGCGGCGGCTAGCTGCTGCAGGACAGAAAGAAGGCGAGGGGCAGTCGGAGCAGCACCGGCAACTGCCGTGTTGCGGTTGCAGATGGCGACAGAAAGAAGAAGAAGAAGATGGAGGAATGGTGGCAGCGGACGCACTCACGGTGGCCACTCGTTCTCACCGGAAGGGAAGGTAGCCGCGATGCTCGTCGGTTCGGTGCAGCAAGGAACGGAGGTGGCGGCAGCGGTTGTTCACAGCAGCAGGCCGGCTGCGGCTGGGATGCCCGGGATTAAGGTGGCGGCTGAAAGAGTGTTGTAGAGTTAGGGTTTTCGGGTGTTGCACTCTAAAAACGGGAGGGGTAAGGAATCACGGGTTCAAGCCCGTGTCTTACCAAACTTGGATGTATTTTAACGAGATTGGTCCCTGCCTCTACAATTCCTTTACAATTTAAATCTAATAAATACTAATCACCTGCCCTTCACAAAATCTTTTACATTTCAAGTCCTAATATTACAATATAGACCCCAAATTCTGGAAATTATACCATTTAACTTCTTATACTTCTTATGGCTAAAGCTGATAAATTATTACGGATTTAGGGTTAAAATAAAATAAAATATAAAATATATCTCGGGGTTTTAGGGTTTATTATTTATTTATTTATCTATTTTATTTTATTCATTTTATTTCATTTATTTTGTTTTGTTTTATTTATTTTATTTTAAAACAGAATGTTACACAATCAGGTGCCGGAAACTTAAGATCAACTGTCGTTCGGCGTCCGAAAGTATCAGATCTGGGGCAGTGGATATGTGGTTATGAAACTCGATCAAATAAGGATCGATTAGGATATCGGATTGTTGGATAGAGTAAATGGAGGATTCATCCGTATAATTAGGGTATGTGGTTTAGGGTCGACCCATTTAGTGGAATTTTGGATATGTGGTTTTGGCGACGCATTTAGGATTTTTTATTGCCACATAGGTTTTTATATTGCCAATGTTAAAAAAGGTAAGGAGTGGTTGTGAGAGAAATTTAATAGGTTTTGTTTTGAAAAATAAATAAATAAATAAAAACAACCTCAACCAAACACAGTCAATCTTTTCCTTCTCTCTCTTCTCGCTACTACAGTTGCGATTCGTCACTGGTGAGTCCCTAGCGACTCATACGAGATGGTGTAAATATTGGTAGCGGGTGTTTGGCGAGAGGGGCGGCGACTGTAGCCTAATACTGCAAATTAAGAAAAAGTGATGCTCTTAGGAGGTAATATCGTAATACTTTAAAAAACGCCTCATTTTATTGAAATTGGAATCCATGATATTGAAGTAGCCCTGCATTCTTCTTTGCTATTCATAAATCATCCAAGTTGTAGAAATGGTCCTTCAACTCTTTTAGTTTTTTTGTTATAGAAACGATCATTCAACTCTTTTTTTCTTTTTACAAACCATCCAAACACTTATTTCATTTAAAAATTTGGTGTTTTGCTAGCTATTATCATGCATAATTTTCATTTTTATATATAAGATTTTCTACCATGCATCATTTTTTATATATAATAACTATTATTTGTAGGTTAGTAAACAAAAATAATGCTAACCTACCGATTAGAAAGGTCATTCTTCAGGTTTTTTTAGAGTTTTCACCAAAATATAATTTTTTTATAAACACTCATATTTTTGTTTTTTTCCCTCACACCAAAGTGGAGCTTTTTCGAATTGGTTCGCCAGTTCAGGTTTTTTTTTCCCCTGCTTTGTAATTAGTTTTTTTGCACTAATCTAGTGGTTTATTGGTTTTAATATTTAACCCACATCCTTTAAACCTGACTATATAGTGCTCATGTACTTGTCGACATAACATCATTGTATTATTGTTTGTGATTATCAACTTTTCCTTATAGTATTAACGGATAAAAATCATTTTGATTTATTCTTTAAAATATGACATAAAATTACGACATACAATTTTATCTGTCGTAAATCATTGATATTTTACAATATATGACATAAATTTTATGACAGACTTTTATGCCAGTCATAAAAGTGTTGTATGTCGTAATTCATCTGTCAAGGAAAGCCTTTTTTCTAGTAGTGTCATAAACTTTTAAAAAGTAGAAACTTGCAGATTTGATCCTTATGATATCTTGTTTACTTCAATTTTAGTCCAAAGACTATGTAATTTTTTAAAATATTAACGGGTAAAACCTAATTAAAACATATATCTAAGTTTAACTAAAAATACATCGCATCTCGTAGTATCACATTTGAATTGTATAAATCACTTAACTAATAATATTAAAAATACTTTTTGATACAATGACTTTTAATAACTTATAAATTTATACGTACCACCAGGTACACCTATCACCAAAGGTAGGTTAACAAATATAAGCAATACTTGGTATAATTACAAAATATTTGTATTAAAAAGGGTAATAAAAAGAACATGTTCTTGAATTAAATAGGCTTTGCAGGATAAAGATTTCAAATAGTTTGACAACAATTACAATCCTTTAGAAATTTGAAATGTTGAAACAATATAAGTAATGTCATTAACAAAACATTAGCAAACACCACGTACCGTGATGCTATAGTCTATAGACATGGAAATAAAATAATGCAATGCACAGACTACAACAACAATTCGATCAATATCAATTTCATGTTTTACAACACTTTGCATGGAGTGTTTGAAACAAACCAGATATGCAAAAACCACATAAAACGAACCAGGTAAGCAAAAGAAGATTCTAAAATTAACAGACATACACAAACATCTCAAATTAACAAACATACACAAACATCTCTATCTAAAATTGAGCAGCAATACACAAACATCTCTATTAGAATTTGAACCAATTTAATAGGCATATAAATTGAATGAAAAAAGGTTTAGCATTGGTATTAAATCAAAACTTATGACTATAACAAATATGTGAATAGGAAAATTTAAGTAAATAAATGAATAATCTCAGAAAAAAGTACCAGGATGCATCTTACTTACCCCTTGGATATACTTATGGAGAAATCATAATCCTAACTCGTCATTACAAACTAAATCTTTGTTTTCCCCACCTTCGAAAATTACAATGCGATAGACTATACATTTTTTTAAATGAAATGTTACTATATAAAGAAATAAATCTTTGTTTTCACCATCTAATATGGTACACATGACTTTCACTGCTTATAATTTCGTAACAATGTAATAATTTACTTTAAACTATGTCTTTATAATATCATCTTATTTTAAGTACATTGCCCTAAAAAAACTTTTAAAGTATAGTGTTAAATTTGAATAACATTTTGAAACTATCAGGGTTAATATAACAACTTTTTAAAAAAAAATGTGTGTGCGTTTGTGAGGTCCCTGTTTACAAAATTTAACAAAAACAATACATGAAATAACTAATGAATAAATATAACCAATGAACTTGTAATTTTATTACCATAATATCAATTTACTTTTGATTTTTAAAATTTTGCATTATATCAAGCACATATCTAATCAAAATTAACCAAAAGGTAAAGAAAAAACACAAATAGAACATGACAAAAAAATTAAAGTATGATGATATATTTGGCTTAGAACTGAAACTGCATTGCTATTTTATTATATAATACACTGATGCCATTTGAATTAATACAAACAAAAAGAACACCCAAACATGCACAAAACACACACACAACACACAAAATCGTAAATATCCTACACGATGAACAAAGTTTATTAATAAACACACATCAATTGGGTCTTTAGAGTCATTTAAAAAATAAAAAAACAAATAATCAAGAGAGAATAATTCCATTGACTTATTTGACTTATTGAACTTCTCTGCAGATGAATAGTGGATTTAGCTTGATATATCCGAAAAAATATAGATGCTTAAAAGGGAAAATGCAAAACGTCAGGTTATGTTTTGTGATGAGGCGTATATAATCTCATAAACGTAAAGGGATCATGAAGGAAATAGAGTGAAAAATTATCAACTTACCACAAATTCGATAACTATTTAGCCTAATTCAAAGAAAAAAATTCAAGATCTGCACATAATCGAAGGTTCCAATTAGCAAAAAACCATAGCGCCATGTTAATTTCATATAGAGTAATGAACTAAGAACTAAAACAATATAATATGGTTTTAGAGAGAGACGATATTACTGGTTCCTTGTATCGATATTATTGAGGATCATAATAATATTGGAGAGAGATGAAAGTGTAAAAAATAGTCGCAATGAGACGGCGATGGACAGGAAGGGTGACGATATTAGTGGCAGAGAGAAAAAGTGGCGGCGACGTATGTGTGGTGATGGTTTTGAATTACAAAGTGGCGGGATTATAGGTTATTTAGTTTCCAAAAAGAAGTCGAAATTAGAGTATTAGAGCCGTGATTTTGGGATGAAAAGGGTAAACGGAACAAATTTGAATATATAATAGATTTGTTTAAAAAAAATATTGATTTATTGATATCGATATCGATATATATTAAACAGTATATTAAACAATATAAATTCAAAGGAAGGGCAAAATAGGAATTTCAGTTTGTAAATTTATAGCTTGAGAAGATGCCACATAGACAAAAGGATTCTTTTATTATAATAGGGGATTAGAAATCGGAAGTTAAGACATCAAGGAAATTCTAGTTCGGTTGGTAAGGGCAGGCAACTCATGAAATTGAGGTTGCTAGGTCGATTCTTGTTATCCCTTTAGCTATTATTTTTCAATAAAACAGAAAAAATAAACGTCAACAATTATCGCCAAATCAGATGCCACGTCAGCATTTACTGGTTCAATAGGTGAAAATGGGTCAAATTGATTACATTAGCCGATATTCTATCATTTTTCGTTAACAAAAATTAATTTGAGACTAAATCATAAACTAGGCCAAAACTTTGGGACTTTTTCGGAGATTTCCCTAAAATTAATCTCATTACACTTAAATAATATTAGTGATACAAATCACCAACACTACATATGTAGCACCTGGTTCTTGGTACGTATTCTTTTATTTAAATCTTTGAGTATTTTGCATTCTGGCCTTGGA